TAATAATAATAATATTGGCTTCCATGTTTTAATTACTTTATTAGTTCTTACCTTTTTTCACTTTTTATTGTTTTCTTAATTCTTATTTCAATTTAATGGTTGTTACTGTAATTTTGTTATCGATGATATTATTGTGTTTTCTATAATATAATGCTTTGATTTTTAACCTAATCAAATATATTTAAAATAACATTAAAAATTGATCAATTTAACTAAACCACACCAATTTGATCTAATTTAAATTGGTTTGGCTATAATATAATAGTCGATTGGATTTATTTGAAAATTTTATTAACTGATTAAATTTGTTTGATTTCGAAAATATTAAGATCAAAGTCAATCCATCCCGTAAATATCCCTAATTAGGTAAGTAGAGGAGACGTGTTAATAACCAAAAGAGTGTATACAGATGAAGAAAGAACAAACCTTGCACCTTTTGTTTATGAATGGGCATTTTCTGAATATAACTCAGGGAAAAAGTCTTCACTTGTGCACAAAAGTCTGGAATCTGGACCATTTTTTCATCCTACAGATGGAATCAAAATCACTGAACTGGCAATGCAATGTGTGGATTATAACCCTGAAATGCGCCCAACAATGAGGCAAGTTGTTGCATCTTTGCTGGAATTGTCTATTGTTTGCCATCAAGCTGACCTTTTGGGCATCAGTCAGACTGGTGATGCTGAGATGCAAAAGGATAAACTCTCAGGTAGGTAGAAATTTCTGGTAAATAAAATAAATGAAAAGCAATCGAGGTAACGTGATGCAAATCTTACCTTTCAGAACCCCTCAACAGGTGGATGGGCTAATTTTCTCACGTCCTTAGTTGATTGAATGGATTATGCTAAGACACAGATAAATCTGCAGTTACTTGGAAATTCCTTGTAAATGATATAAATTTTCTTTAAAAAATAACAATAACATTAATAAAGGGGAAAGAGGTAGACACCTATTCCATGAAGTAAGGAGGAGGGAGAATTTATTTGTTCCTTCGATGTGATGGAGTGAATGGGGACGACAACATCCTAAATGCCAAATAATTGAATTCAATACAGAAAGAAAAGCAATGTAGTGAATTTTTTTAACAGTCAGCAATGTAGTGATTTTAAAACTTGGAAACGGGCAATGCTTGCGAAAAGCAACTTGTTATCTCAAGGTTTTTGGGCCAAAACATCACTTAGAATTGAAAATTATCTAATTAATTAGTTTAAATTACTGTTGTATCAATTATTTGGGAACTGTAAGTCACTTAACTGTGAACTCTGTTAATGTCACAGGATTCTTCTCAGATTCAATTCATGATGAAAGGATTCTAAATAAAGGTCAGTGAATGCCAACTTCTATCCCAAGAGGTTAGGAACACTCCCCTAAGTGCCATGTCTATTTAGTAGGTTAACCGAGTTTTTTGTGCATGGCCATACATTTGGATGTTCAATCTATTTTTTTGGCACTAAAACTATCTATTTTTTCTTAATATTTGAAACTTATTTTATTGCCAGCAGTTTAATGCAAGAAAGGTTCCTCTCCTAAAAGCATGTAATTGTGTTTAACTCCTTTCTTGCTGTTTTTATTGTTGGTGAGGTATTCTTGTAGTTTATATAGTATAGGCAATTTTTTTGCCATTTTGATACTCTAAATCTCAGTTTAAATTTAGTGTTTACAGCTGGCTAAAAAAATGATTAGTGTTTACTGTTTACAACTATATCATTTGACAGCCTACTATTTGGCACAAATTTTAATTAACCAATTCAAATTCTTAATCTTCTGATCTTTCTGATACAAATATATTCAGGAAAAGAGTGTACTATGATACAAAGTTATTCTTACAAGGACCTAAGTTTATGCACCAATGGACTCAGTGAAGAGAACTTCATAGGAAAGTTCCACTTCGGCAAAGTGTATGTCACAGAGATGAATGGGAAAAATGTAATGGTGAAAATATGGGACTCAGACTCTAAATTTTATCAAGTTTCTTTTCTTCAAAACCAAGACAGGTTGTTGGTATGTTGTTAAAGAGACTCCCCTCTTGCATCTTGTGAGTTCTCTATTAAATAACCATATGCTTAATATTTTACCTTTTACATTTAGGATGAGCTCGTTTTACTTCTGCATCCAGTACTGATATCCCATCCAAACCTTGTCAACTTGATGGGATACTGCTATGAAGGAGAAAATCTTGGTGTTGTTTATGATCTTGAGCCTCTAAATACTCTCCATAACCTCCTATTAAACGGTACATATGCTTTTACTTTCACTGCTAACAAACTAACAAATTATTTGATGTTTGTTTATTTTAATTTTTTGGAATTGTTACCTTTCTGGTATGAGTGTTAGAAAACCAGAGATTCCTCTTCCTCGTGATTATTTGTTGAGTTTACCTGTACAAATTTTCATATTAAATTTGTGATTTATATTGTATATTTATTAAATTCATTTACTTCCATAAATCTCAAGTTCTTTTACATGAAATCGAAAACTCATCATATGGTCTGAATAGATACAAAGTTGAACTGTGTTATTCACGTTTTATCTTATAAATTATATTTGTTTATTGTGGTAGAGAAATTCTAAACCTTTCAACTGAGAAGTAGAAACGTGTCCTTGTTGAAGGACATGAGCTTCTTACTGACCTTGATTTATTCACAAGTGCCTTCTTTCTTATGAAACCACATTTTGATATGAAATTGAGGTGCTATAGGATTTAATAGGATTAGGGTTTACATTTGGAATCATTGTAGGATTTTATGCTTAGAGCATCTTCAGGATTTTTGCAAACTAAGCAATCAAGTCTAGCTTCAAATTCTTGTCTTTATTTAAAGAGTTATGGCAGTGTTGCAGATTAGTTTTATATTTTCTTGCCAGATAAGAATTTGATTAACTTCAACGATAACTTGTGTTTCAGATACTTTTACATGGTCTGAAAGAATCAGAGCTGCTCTTAAATTTGCATGCCTGCTCAAATTTTTACATGTTGACACTCCACACTTTCGCCAATTTCTGGTTCGCAACATAGCTGCAGCTCACTTAATTCTTCACCAGGTTTGCTTCAGCGCCATCTTCTGATCTTGTTGTCATATACGTTCCTACTTATCTGCTTATTAACTGAATGTGCTTCAACATGTAGGATCACAATCTGAAGTTGTTTGATTTTGTTCTGATTTCTGGTGGCATCTTTCCTGATCGTACAAAACAGAGGGAGTGTGTACATGGGTGCATCGGCTACATTGATTTTGATCTTGTGAAAGGTAATCAGCGTGACTTTGATTAATTTACCTTTGTTTGGCTATTTTATGTACAGTTGAATTTGAGAATCCTAATCATGACAGATTCATGGTCAGAAACAAGTGATGTTTTCTCTTTTGGCGTAGTACTCATTGGGCTAATATCTAAAAGAGTTTGCACTGAAGAAGAGGCGGAATTGGGAGAACCTTTTCTTTATGAATGGTTAAACTCTCAGTACAATGAGAAAACTTCAGACTCGGGATTCGACAAGACCAAGTTTTCAATTGTGCACGAGAGCCTAAAAGGAGATCCAGGTTTCTGTGCCAGTGATGGAGTTGCCATTACGAAGTTGGCAATGCAGTGCGTAGAGGAGGATAAATATGATAGGCCTACGATGAAGCAAGTTGTTAAGCAACTCCTCAATCTCAGCATTGTTCGAAAAAACATGCCTCGTACCTAGACGACCATCAAATGCTACGTTAGTTTTAACTTACCCTGTAACCAAAAATTAAACACCTTGAGCTTTTTCTTGAGAACCCCTAATTAAATTAGATTATAACAAAATCTATATTGGTGGTTTATATTGGCTTCTGCTTCTAATTGAACGCTCGTTTTTGAGAACAAAAGTGGAGTCTGACTGTTTGAGAGCTCAGCTTGCTAGCCAGAATAGTCGAATCTAGGGGTGGGCAAAAATTATCCGAACCGAAAAATTAACCGAAACCGATCAAAAATTAACCAAATGATTTGAGTTAAACGGTTTTCGGTCATAAAATCATCGATTTTGGTTATTCTCGAAAATAATTTGGTAGGTTTTCAGTTCAGGTGTTTGAAAGCCCAAAACTGAATTTATAACCGAAAATATTAATAAAAAAACAAAAAATATTATTTTGAATATCTTAAATATTAATAGCTTTCAATAATTTATTGATTGACAGATGTTTCCGAAAAATCATGCTATAATTTAGCATTTCAAAACCTATTCTCTTACCATGGTTTGTTTTACTTTTTATTTATAATTTATTATTATTTTATCTTCTTAAAGGTCTCATAATAAGTTTTCTCTTTCTCCACCTGATGCCTTTCAACTTTTCCTTCACTGTTTATTTCTTCATTATGTTTCTTCACCGACGTTTCTTTTTTCGCTTTTTCTTCACTTATTTTTCTCATTTCTCTTCATCCTTTTTTTTTTTAAACCTCATTCGAGGGTTAAATCCATTTAGGAAATCCAATGAAAACTTTAAAATGAAATCCTTTCTTCCTTCTAGTCTTAATGTCTTTGCCTCTTTGGCCTAACCCAGGTCTTCTTTTTCCTTCTATTTCGTGTTGCCGGTGCTGTATTTTTTGTCAGAGTCGTTGCTGTTGTTTTTCCCTTTGTTTTTGTGCGTTCTCTCCTCATAGTTTCTGGTGCAGCATCTTCTTCAATTTCCCCTTCATCTCTGTAAAAGCATTATGCTAAATAATCGGTGAATACCAAAACTAAAATCATAAAACCGAAAATTTCGTTATCAATACTGAAGAAATAGGGGACTTTCGGTATCAGTTTTGGGTCTGAAAAAAGGGAAAAAAAAAAAAAAAAGTTCAGTTAGTGAAAAATCGATATCGGTGAATACCCAAACCGGCATTTGCCCAGTCTTAGTCGAATCAGAGTATGAGTTTGATTAGAGAAAGAATTCTCCCAAGAGTAAAAAGCTGGATTCTTGATCAAAGTAACTGTTTAACCTATAACGAGAAATCTTTGAACCAGAATATAAGAACCAGAATTGAATTAAAACGAGCTTTTCCAGCCGGTGTGAGAGTTGATACAACAAAAAGAAAATGGAAAAGAGAACACAAGGGAAGGAAAAGAGAAACCAAAAGTTTCTCCATCCCTTTGTTCTCTCTACTTGTATGAAATGTCAAAAGGCTTGCTTGCATTTTTGTCGCTCTTTACACTTTGCTTCAAAACTCATTACGTTCATGGCCTACCTCTGAGATATATTGCTTCTAAACTGCACTAGCTGGCTTCTTTGCCACTACTGTCAGCACTTTGCTTTTGCTGTCGCTCTTCATTCACAGAGTTTCATCTACACTTTCATTGCTGTCTAGCTTTTGTGTGTTTCCATCCAGTTTCCCTTTGGGAGTACTGTGACTGGATTTTCGACCTGACCCCTTCACTTTCTCTGTTGGGGCACTGGTCTCCACTGTAAAGCTGGTTTCAGTTGCTGCCGTTGATGTCTGTTCAGAAGATGATGAGTTAGCAGACCCGGATGGAGGCAAGAAAACTCCAGTGCCAGGAACAGGGAAACGAGATGCCCACCCAGTTGAACCAGGCGGGATGGGAACTGGAGTGGGAAAGGACATTGCAGGTGCAACTGGAGTAGGTACAAATAGAGGTTGAACACCATTTGGAGGAATTTGTGGCCTAATAGGAGCTGGTAATACACCAGTTGCTGGAATTGGCAAATGGTGCTTGGGCCCACCAGTATGGCGGACATTATTTGGTGATCTTTTAGATGAACCCCACTGCGAGGCTGCAGGGGAAGGTAGTCGCTGGCGGTCATTTGGTATGGTTTTCTTTGATTGATGCTTGGTAAATGTAATGAGCATGCGTTGTTTGCGGACAGAGGGAAGTGCATGTTTTGCAAAGTCTGTACATGTTCCTTCCATCACAAGGAGACTCCTGCATGATAATTAAAAATGGAAGTCAGAAGTGTAAAATATAAAAACACAATAAATTCCAAACAGGTAATGCCACTATTTGACACTCAAAATGTTTTAGTAAAAGGAGTACGTTGTATTGCTGAAGCTTGATGAGGGCTGGAGTACCCTTAAACTCCCAAATAATATAAAAATCTTATTTGCTGAGAGAGAACAATAAAAAAATAAAATAAAGAATAAAGCACGAGGAGAGTGAAGCTGACTACCCAGGTGCAAAAGAAAGCCTGAGAGCGCCTGTATAATCCCCAGGATTAAAAGCAATGAGTACTTTCCCAAAAGTTATGTCACATTCTGTCAGGAACAACATGCAAATTGGTTTTCCAAACCAATGTGGCCACATATGAGGCTGTGAATGATCCCCCTACAGATAATCACTACAGATCAGCCCCAAGCTCACATATTTAACACAGAATAATTTAATAGTGTTATTGGAAAACAAAAAAGTGCCATTTATATCAACCTCATTATAGATATCAATGATACAACAGTCTGGTTTCACACTCATAACTTGCATTGCAACCAAGCGATTAATGGCATCTTGCAGCAAGGAAGGAATGGGTTCTACACTCCGATCTGAGAATTAAATTCATAAGAAAATACAAGAAATATTAAATTAGAAAGAAAAGGAAATTCTGTTACTGGAAAAGAATGCCAATATGTTTATTAGCTATTCATCTCTTTGTTTCTTGGGGGCATAAATAGAAAGGTAAGCTGAGAACATGCCTTTGGAGATTCCTGTTGTACTATCATCATCTAGAGGTGCATCTGACATAGGAAGGCCAAACTGAATCATCTCTCTCCCATGTCCCTTTGTGGGTCTTTTTGAGGCAATATACGTCTGACCTGCTTTTAGTCAACAACAGTTCAGCTTTTGCAGGCAAATTTTACTACATTTATCATCAGAGAAAAGAGTCCACTAGAGATGAAAATCAGAAAGGTGCAAAATTTATCTCTAGGAAAATGAATATAATTCCAGAATTTCCCCATATACTTGATTGTTTGAAGTTACAATATTAAATAAAGAAAATTTAATAATTCACTGTTTGGGAACTTGCATTTAGCAGAGGATGGTTGGATTGAGATCGATTATTAGAAATATGCCGTCTGGTTTTGCCGAAAAATGAGTAAATTTCAAATTGCTCTTTAAATACACTGTATTGCACAAATCTCAACCATAAACTGATGCATATGTTGTAATCTTGTATTTCAAAACATTAATTTGCCCCTTATTTTGACAAATATATCTTTTAGATAAAAATGGTTATATTTTATTCAAAAAATGTACTTTAAATACATGAATTTCTAAATTCATGGATTTAAAATCTATATTTGAAATCCACACCATGAACTCAATTTTCAGTTCTGATGCAACCCAAAGAATTTACCAACCATTAGAGACAGTATCCCAAATTACAAGGTGAATTGTTAAATGCTTAAAAGGCTACTACCAAATTATAAAGTGTTGGTCGTATCCCATACAAAAGCTCAAAATTTTTCCTTTTTCACATTGTACCTCTGTTACCTGGTTGTTTTTCACAGCTCCTACCTAGAGTATTAAACTCTTGAGCAATAACATGATCCAGAAAAGGATCATTATTTTAAGCGTGGAACTCTTCCTTCTATAGGAGGGTAACAACTACAAGGATATGCCTAGGTTGTTGGCAGCAACATTCGTTCTTTTCAACTTCATGGTGAGCCTATTTTACATGCTATTACTATGTAAATTAGTCCATACTAAAAATAACACAAGTAAAATCTCTAGGCTTACTTGTCAAAAGCCATGTATCTAGGCAAAGAAACATCATAAGTTTATTGCAGAGTGAGAAAACTTATCACAATAGTTGATGCACCACCATAGCTCAGGGACAATGTTGTCATAACCTAGGGTTCTTAGGCTAACAGATAGAACATACAAGCATAGGGAAACAAACCCAATGAATTTTAAAATCTACAAGATATTTTTAACAGTATCATGCATAAATCTCCAAATTAGGACAGCAAAACATTAAGTGACTAATCAGCATCTTCAATAGCTGCAACATCTGGAATGGGACAACTTTCAAACCATGGAAGGGGACAAAATTAAACATGTCAATAGACAGAGCCAGAGTTTTCCATGTATAGATTACATAGGATTTGATTTGTATTTTTGTCAAATTAGTCTTACATAATATATTAATGGGATTAAATAACTTCTCTTTATGAAATAAACTTATATTATATTAGAATAGGTTCTGGTTGTTGCCACATCCTAAATTGCTAAGGCCATGCTAAAGTGGTCTTTAAATGCTGCTTTGACTATTTTAACCTTGTGTTTAATTGAGTTCACACTATCTTTTTAATTTTAGCTAATAATTACCATAATACTTCACTACCAGAAAATTTTAGCTTTTTGTTAATATTTTTATTAGTTTATTCAATTTCAAGGAATGTCATATTATATGATAGTCTTTATTCTGCCTGTCATATGATATTTTCATTTTATACTGATTGCTTGCAGAAAGCAATACTCAAAATTAGTATTCTCATGCTTGAACATCATCAAACACAACCACACCAAGAATATTGTAAGCAATGTCTTTGCAGATAAAAGTTCCCAAGGACTATATGCAGTTTATAAACTACTAATGGCTTAAAAAGAAGATGGAATGTGCAAGAGAACTTGCCTTGGAGATGTCCTTTTTTTCCCGCAGCTCTTAAATCATTTACAAGTGAAACAAATTTTGGAACTTCGTTCTCATCAAACAGTTCTTCATACAATCTCAGCCCATCTACCACATTAACCTGATACAGTATAAAGTAGAACCATTTTACCTTACAAGAAACTACAGTTTACCAAAAAAAGGCTTTCAGCATGTCCAGATGTCTCATCAACTAAAATGGAAAAAAAAAAAAAAAAAACTATAGAATTTGAAAAGAATTTACCATTCTTCCATCATGTGGCTCCATAGCTGTGAATGTTTTTGGAACCATAGCAAGATTCCACTTTTCATTCTCATTTGGAATGGCATGTATATTATCCTCTGGAAG